TTGTACTCGGGATGGGTGTGTCAGAGGCAATGAGATTGGCACAGGATAGAGCACGGTTTAGGGCTGTTGTACATAGGGTCGCTATGAGTCGCAAACGACTTGACGGCACATAACAACAACAACAACAACAATATTTGTTAGATTCTTCTTTCAGGTATTCCTTGTTTTATTTTGCTTCACAGATACTACCTTTTTTGTAGATTCAAAGTTTGCAGCAAACCTCTTGAACAAGTCTGTCAGTGTCATTTTCCCAATAGCATATGCTCACTCTGTATCTCGGTGTCATATTTTGGTAATTCTCACAATACTTCAAACATTTTCATAATGCTGTTGCACACTTCATAATAGACTACTGTAAACACTTGTGCTCAAATGTTTTCAGAACAAATTCAGAGGTTTTCACAAATGTATCCACTTAAGTAATAAAGCCTTTTCTCAAGAAAGAACATTGTCATTAACAAAGTTGATGCCCCTTTATGACTTTCCTGCCTGAACTGCCTTAACTTATTCCTTTTTGTAGTAACTACTGTTCTGGTTTTTCCCCCATTCTAAAATTTTATATAAATGGCACTATATGAATGTATTCTTGCATGAAGTTTCTTTCAGTCAGCATGATGTTTTTGAGAGTTACTCACTGTGAACACACCAGACCTTTTTCTGCCTTAATGTCTGTGAAAGAACTTGATGATCCCATCACTCCGAAACACTGATTTTCATCTTTTTGGTCTCAGTTGCTATCCCTTAGAAGTCTGGGGGATTTTCTTTGATCATTCCACCTCTCGAAGAGATCCTATCTCTACCTCACCCTTCTAACAGTTGTTCTCTGTGCTGTCTCCCTTTTATTTTCTTGGTTTTGTTTCTTGCATGAAACCAATCTTCAGGAGGGAAGGAACTTTTAACTGCCAAACAAAGTACCTGAACAAAGTATATGTTTAGTGGACCAGCATTTATTAAACACTTAACGTGTTTGAGAAATGAACAAACACATGTCTTACATTGCCATATATGTGAGCTGTCATTCCTTGCTCCCAACATCTCTGTCCTATGATTACTTGGATTACTTGGGCAGGTGCTTTTCTTAACATACTACTATTTCAAAATATTCAGTCTTTTGCATCCATTATCAGTTTTTTTTAGGTCCTAGAGTCATGTGAACAATTTACACTCCACTACCTAAAGTGGTTTGCCAGTGGTGCTATGGACAAAAGACCTGATGATATATAGTTCCATAAAACTGCAGCCATTAAAAAAAACAAAAAAAACTGCAGCCATTGAAAACCCTATTGAATATCATGCTAACCTGAAATATGTGGGAGTTGGAATTGATTCAGTGGCAATGGGTTATTGAATTTTGCCATAGTTATAATAAGTTGTAAATACTCATTATTAAAGATTAGCAAATATTTTCATGTTTTTTCAGCATTAAAATATCAACAGTAAGAGAAAAATTACTAAAAAAATGTAATTGATATTTCAAAAGATGACTCACAATTTTAGGTGATAATCTTCTTTTATTTAAGGTAATCATAAAAGGCCTCTCCAATTGGAAACCTTATTTACTGTTGGTGGGAGTGTAAAATGGTGCAACTAGTAAGGAAGGTGGTTTGGCGCTTTGTCAGAAAGTTGGAATATACCCTAAAGAAACCCATAACCACCATCCAAACAGATATATGCACACCCATGTTTATTGCTGTGTTATGCACAGTAGCAAAGAGATGGAAGCAACCCAAGTGAGCATAAACAAATGAATGGATAGGAAATCTATGGTATATTCATATAATGAAATACTATGCAGCCCTGAAAACAATGAACTCATAAAACATGGGGGACACTGGAGAACATCATGCTGAGTGAAATATCTAAGTCACAAAAGGGCAAATACTACATAGCACTACTGTTATAAAGCAGGACTGACATGGGGGGTTGGGAGGAGACTAGGATAACAGTGGATAGATAATGAACATTGCATTGGAACAGAGGAAGAAATGTTTAAAAGGCTAGTATGGTTAGGTATTATATGTATGACTACAGCCCAGAATAGGAGGCTTATCATTGCAAAGAGAACTTGGGGTTGAGGGTAATTGTGCAACAGTGAATGAATATTAAAAAAGAAAAAGTGAACTGGGAGAGGAGGAAAAGAGAGAGAGAGAGGGTAGAATGTGTAGCAATGAATGAATAAAAATCCAACTTCTCTGTAAATATTCGTTAAAATCACAATTAAAATAAAATTTTATAATAAAAATTAGACCTCTCCGATAACGATCTGAAGAAAGTGGTGGGATAAGTCATGTAACTATCTGAGGGGAAAATATCCTAAGCCTAGGGAATAGAGAAAGACACTCTGAAGAGGATGTATACTTGGTATCTTTTGGAAATGGCATAGATGCTACAGTGGCCAAAGAGAGCTACCAAGGAAAAGAGCAGCAGGTTGGAAAGGTAGCAGAGACCTGCATAATATCCAGGGTTTTGCCTGCCGTGGTAAAAACTTTGGGTTGTATTGTGAACGACATGGCAAGCAGGATTCTGAGCAGAATATCATTATTTGTCTTAAATATTAAGAGTGCTTGGATGCTGTAGGGAGGATAAAAGAAGGCGAGGATGGAAGCAGGCTGTTGCAAAGACCACACAAGAAATGAATGAGATTTAGTGTAGGTAGAAGTGAGACATGGTTGTATTTATTTTAAAATGTATGAGTTGGATTGGGGTGTGGGAAAATAAAATTAATTCAAAGATGATTCTATAGGTTTGGCCTGGATTGGAGAAGATTGTATAAGCAGTAGACTTGTAAAGGAAAGTATTTAATGTTTGATACTGAGCATGTTAAGATTGTGGTGTCAGGTATCCCAGTGAAGATGTTGGATGGACAGATGTGAGTCCATGAGATATGTGCAAGGTCTCAGAGCATAGGTGATATTTAAAGCCATAGGAATTAGGACACTTAGGGAGAAAGATGCTGTTAATGTAGGGGGGAAAATCAAGATTAAATCCTGGGATCTTTCACACTTATAAAAGACAAGGATGAACCAGCAAAGGTGGCTCAAAATAAATGCTTAGTGAGTTAAGTGATAAATTGGGAAACTCATTGTAATCGACAGACAAAGGGAACATTTCAAAGTCAGTATATAATCAGCTGTATTCATTGCTGCCAAGCAGATGAATAAAATGAAAACTAAGAATTGCTTAATATATTTCTTTAAAGACATTCATTCTCTGTATTACTCAGAATGGAAATAGACAAAATCATTAAAATAAAATAAATTAAAATAAAATGACCACAGCATGCTATTGTTGTTGTGTATCATTGAGTCAGAACCGACCCATAGCTGACCCTCCAGTGGGTTTTCAGAGGCAGGTAATCACACTGAAGGAGATTACCCATCCTTCCCCCACAGAGCCCCTGGTGGCCTTGAATCATATGCCTTTGAGATTGCAGTGCAGCTCCTTGCCACCAGGACACCAGTGCTCCTGCCATACGATAATCATGTTATATTTTAATAGATTCTTTTACCTGTTAAAGACAGGTAAGTCTCCCTGCTCAGCTGGAGAGTCCTAAAACTTTAGGTATCAAATAAGAACACGCAAGTAAAATGACAAAAGGGTAACTGTCATATTGTAGAATACTGTCCTCTCATCTGACATGTTAGGCTTTAGCTTTACAAACAGTACACAAAACTTGGGATCTTTCATCTAGGTCTTTTGAAATGTTTACTAAATCTCTGACCTAAAAATAGTGCTTTTCTTCTTCAGGAAGTGTTTTGGATCACAGCTTGGAAAGCCTCATCCACCGACTTCGTGGTTTGTGTGACAACATGGAACCTGAGACTTTCCTTGACCATGAGATGGTATTCCTCCTTAAGGGCCAGCAGGCCAGCCCATTTGTACTAAGGGCTCGGCGCTCTATGGATAGAACAGGGGCACCCTGGCATCTGCGCTACCTGGGACAGCCAGAGATGGGAGATAAGAATCGCTATGCCCTGGTGCGAAACTGTGTGGACATTGCGACATCTGAGAACCTCATAGACTTCACGATGGAAATGGGCTTCCGCATGGACCATGAGTTTGTCGCCAAGGGACACTTGTTTCGTAAGGGCATCATGAAGATTATGGTGTACAAGATTTTCCGCATCCTGGTGGCTGGAAACACAGACAGCACTGAGGCCTTATCACTCTCCTATCTTGTAGAACTAAGTGTTGTTGCACCAGCGGGGCAGGACATGGTCTCTGATGACATGAGGAACTTTGCTGAGCAGCTAAAACCCCTGGTTCACTTAGAAAAAATAGACCCCAAAAGGCTCATGTGATTAAGAGAGGCTGTCCATTAATGGACAAAAAAGGTGTTATAAATATCCCACTACCTTACTATTATTACTCAAGCATCCTTCCCTCAATGTGGAAGATAGTGAGAACTTGGTTTTTTTGCTTGTTTTCCTTGTCTGGTGATTTCACTTTTATAGTCTTTTTATAGAAAAAAGAGTCTGTTTGATCCCTGTCACTTAAAAGAAGGGAACCTGAAATAAATTAGCTGTTGGTGATTAAGTTATTTGTGTATAAAGTTTGTAATATAGAACTGTGAACTTGTAATAAAGTCTGTGTAGAGAAATAGCTGTGTAATTCTGATTGTTTTTCTGTTACCCTCCTATTTTTAGTTTGCATAGAGATGAGTTTTTCAGAAAAATAATAGGTTTTTGTTGTTGAAAATTTTGCAGTAGAAACAAAGATAATTAGAAGTAGTCTGTAGTCTTATTATTCAAAGGAGTTTCAGGGTAGTATAAATAGTTAAGTGCTCAATCGCTTACTGAGAGGCTGGTGGGTTGAGTCTACCCAAAGGTGCCTCAGAAGAAGAAAGGCTTTATGATGTATTTTTTTTTAAATAGCCATTGAAAACTATGGAGCATAGTTTCTCTCACACACTTTGGGGTCTCCTTGATTCAGAATGGACTTGATAGCAACTTTTTACAGAAAATGCAGAGATAACATTATCTCTATTTTGATGCATATTCCTCAAGGTTTAAAAATAAATATGTGTGAAATATATTATTGCTGTTGTTATGTGCCATCCAGTTGCCTGAGACTTACAGTGACCCCTTGTATAACAACTCTGAGCCCTGCTCTATACTGAGGCAGTCTCACTGACTCCAACACACCTACACCCATTACGCCAGTAACTGCATCAGGCTTTCTCATCTGAAGTCTGTCTTTCCTGCGCTGTCTCTCCACCCTTCCAGGCATGATGTCCTTCTCCAACAACTGGTCCCTCCTGGCCATGTGCCTGAAGTGCTTGAGACAGAGCATCAAAATCTTGCCTCCAAGGGGAGCTCTGGTGGCCTAGTGGCAAGAAGCTGCACTGCAATCCCAGAGGAACATGGTTCGAATCCACCAGATGCTCTGCCGGAGAAGGAGGTGCAATATCCTCCTGTACCAGTCTGATCTGATTTGACGGTACACACAGACAAAATAATAAAAAAATTTAAAAAAAAAATCTTGCCTCCAAGTAGAAACTTGGTTCGCCCTCTCCATGAGAGACCTATTTGTTCTCCTGGCATACTCTTCTCCAGCACCACAACTCAAAGGCATCAATTCTTCTGTTATCTTTGGTCATTGTCCAGTTCTCTGATGAATAGCATATAATTGTGAATATCATAGCCTGGATCAGGCTCACCTTAGTCTCTAGACTAACATCATTGCTCCTGAGCATTCTGGAAACGTCCTTGACAGCAGACTTCCCCAATGCACCTCATCTTTTGATTTCTTGACTGCTAGTGCCAAGAGTGTTAGTTGTGGAGCTGAGCAAGCTGAAATTGTTAACAACCTCAGCCTCTTCTCCATCTATCATGGTACTACCAATTGGCCCAGTGGTGAGAATTTTTTTTGTCTTCTTGATATTAAGCTTCAATCCATAATATATAAAAATATTCTATATACACTAGTTTTATAGCCTCATGTTTTTCATTTGATGTATCATTTCTATCTTTTAGAACATCAGTCTTCAGTGTCCTTTTGTAAAAAAAAGATTCAGTTATGTGTCAGTGCTGGCCTAAGTGCTCTAGATCCACTAACTCGTTTATTCCTGACCACTAAAACCATTGCCAATGAATAGAGTCCAACTCAGAGTGACCTTTGAATGGCTTTTCAAGGCTATAACTCTTTTTTTTTCTATAATTATATTTTATTAATTTTCATAAACATTTACAGAGATTT